GACAGAAGATCAAGTGACAATCCCAAAAAATTATAAAGAAAAAAGAAAAAAGAAACATGTGTACAGGGCTCAGGAGATACAGGAGGGGAAGACATGTGCGAATCATAATTTCACCTAAAATTTCAAACTGTCATATCAACAACTATTATATTAATTATAAAATGTGATTTTCATACAGTCAATTTGCTGTCATGATTTATGTTTCTGTAACTTAAGCTTTCTAATCATCCTGTTTGAATCTATAACTTGGCTTTAGTCTGTGCTGCATCACAACTCAGGTGAGTTTTGAAGAAATCCTGGATCTTCTTCCAAAGGTGGATCTCAGCTGCTATGTGGGCCTTGGGCTCACCTCCCCACAGCACTCGCTTGCCTACACCTGCATTGAAGCTGGAGGGGCAGTGGGGCGCATAAGGTGGCTCCAACATGTGTCCAGCTCCAGGGTAAAAAACAGTCTCAAAGTTCTCCTTCCCATGATGCTTAAGTCTCACCACCATTTCATCCATGTAGGCTTCGCTGTCCCAGTTGAGGTCGTCTCCTACAACCGCAAAAAGAAAATGGCTCTTGGCTCGTTCAATGGGGATCAAGCTGCCCTTATTCTTTTCTGCCAGGGGATCTTCAAGAGCATCCTTTATGATGATTGCACCTGACTCGGTGGGAATAAACTTGCTTTCGTCAAACAGTATTGATGACAGGATCTGCCGTTTCTTGTAGTAGAGAGGCGTGACCACATTGGCGTTACAGGCATTCATGCACACTATGGCCTCGACACCTGGCACAAAAGCAGCGAGTGCCAGTCCGATATTTGATCCCTTGCATCTTGACATTATGCCAACTCCTTTACTGCCCACCTGTGAAATAACACAGAAATTAAAAGGCGATGCAAATCTATAAAACATTTGGAGCGCAGGGCTGACTCTACCTGTCATTATTTTCATTTTTGTGGACTACATATGTATATTACCATTACTAAATAAATAAACACATTCATATATGCACAGTGAAGCTATCATGATCCGGGTGAGTGGCTGGAAACTTCTACCAGGGTCTTG